ATTACATTTACAATTGAGAATTTTAAAATCCATTTGGAGTTTAAACATTATATCTATCATTAGTTAGGCCAATCTTACTTAATGCTTCACCTGTTTGGACACCTTACTATGATATATATTCTCATAAGATTGCAACTGTTTAACATATTTCTCACCACCATGGTGTGAAAACTTGAAATGGAATTTCCTAGAATATCACATAACTACTTCCATGTAGCTAATTATGTAAATATTTGCATAGGCAATTCAATGATTTCTTGTTTTTTCATAAATTGCTAAATAATTAAATTGATTGTGTTTATTATCAAAAATATACTGGAAAATTCTATATTTCATCCTTTTTTAAAATAATTGATTATAAAACAGGTATTCCTACAATACAATTCAGTCACAAAAGTATTTGTTTGAAAATTATTTACATCACTATAAAGAGTTGAGTACATCATGTATTAAATTCAATTCCATACAATGATCTTATAGTAAAATAAATAGTACAATTTTAATTGGAACATAAAGTTTGCTAATAGACTGTATAGAAACTTCAGAGATAGTTGTTCAGAAAAAGTTTCTCACTGAAATAAGCATTTGTTGAATTAAATCACAGAATAACATAATTTTATTTTTTGTATTTTTTTATAAAGTGTCAGTATTTGTACTATTTGATAAATCATATTAGTTGATGTCGGGAACATGAAATGATAGAAAAAGCTAGTTATTGAGTTTTGTCTCTCCCCTCTCCCTTATTGTCACTAAAATACTATTGAGTTGGTGTGGAGCATTGCAAAAGATATTATCAGTGTCATCATGATACCACTTTCAATTACAAAGCAACAAGAAAATGAAAGTAAGCATTAGAACTGAAAACTACATAAATAAATATACAAATATTTCCTTGAGATATTTTTCAGAAATGTCACTAATATAACATATTCATTCTTTAACACTGCTATATTTGGGATAATTATGTGGCACATACTGTGAAGAATATAGAAGAGGGTAGAGTAGAAATAAGAAAGGAGGCTTCAGAGATTGCAGCAATAATAAATATTCAGGGTGTCTCTTATGATGAGAAAGTTCCCCTCAGTGTACCTATTCCAGGACCCTCTGATGTTTTTAATTAACAGGAATATGGCAGCCAAGGAAATTTGGTTGAAAAATATTTGACGACTTTTATTCTTTTCTAGGGCAGAGTTGCAAGTTGTTAATTCTATTATTCCAACAAGCACAAGTGAGTGGTTATATTCCAGATGAAATAGTGGATACATATTATTATGATTATTTGCACTTTTAGAGGTTTCTCGAGCGCTACTGTTAGGATTGGTAGAAAAGCTTTAATAACTGTTTCATCAGAATTTAATTGCCAAAAAACATTATGAAATGATATCTATGTAGGTACACTTTTATACTTCAGATATTTAACAACAGCAACTAATCTGTCAAAATCCAGATAAAAACTACCAGAAGCTTTCAAATAGTGACTTCATTGTACATATAGGGGGTTGAGAAAAGAATGTAATGTGCAGCATTAGAACTAGAGAAAACTACTAAAACCCACGTTGTAATTTTTTGGTTTTGGGTGGGGACTGTGGTACCAGTTGACGTTCAACAAATATTTTTATCTTTATCTAATTTGTCATATATTGGTATCCGTGTATGTGAATGTACTATCAATATTTTGTTGAAAATAAATATTGTGTACGGTAGTTAGAAAGCGTGTGGTTCTGTAATTGTTTGTTGGTGATGGGAGTTATAGTACATGATGCAATAAGTTATAATAAGTAGTAGTTGTATCTGGATTTTATTTTTCTAATTTAATGTATCTCTTAATATCTTTAATGTTTTTCTTCTAAAATTGATTTGAATTTCGGCCAAAATCAACTTCATTTTCGGCCGAAATGAACTTCAATTTAATAATGTGTTAAATAGCAATTACTGGTGGTCACGTGTTAATTATACATGGCTAACATTTCAATGAAGCATTGCTTTACCCGTCATGATCTCTTGAACAAATACATTTAAGTACTATTACCATAATATCACTATTAACTAACCAATTCTGTCTGTTAATGATCAATAATTGAATGGGTGAACACCAAAACAGTGTAAATGACATTTTATAAATTTGGAGCAAAACATGTTCATAGTAGGCTATATTTCAGTGCCTATGAAAATTTGCGATTTAATAAAAGCCATAGTTTTAACAATTCTACAGTGATATTGAATTAAATATGAATTTGAATATATGAATAAATAGAATTTATAAAATGCCTTACATTGATCTGGTTTTCACCCATTCCACTGATCATTAATCATAATGATCAATCAACAGAAATTATAAACATCAATTACTCCAATTGTAAAACTTTACACAGAACACATTAATTTGATAGTTCTGCACTTGCAATATCAAAAAGTACCATTAGAATTGCAGTAGTTTTCACAAGGCCTACATGGGTGTTTAGGAGTATATTCGCCATTCTCCTCTCTGATGGCTTAATTCACTGTCAGTCATATTATCAACAGCATTTCGAAATTATTTGTATCAATTCATAAATTTTTTTGTCAAAATCAATTTCTTGTGAAAACTATTTCTAACCTCCACATCACGAAAATACATTGAATTCAGCCAGCTGATCTGCTACTAAACTGACTGGCAGAAGAATATATTTTGGAGAGCAATGTGGTCTTCAGCAACGCTCATTTGTTAAAGAAGCCGTCATTAAAACCTTTTACTGCTCCAAATGCTCTGTACCAGGGTCCATCAACAATAGTTTTCCTGCTGAAAATTTGTCACATTTCCCCACACATTACATAACTTTCTCTCTACAGCATAGGCTTTAGCGATAAAGTAAAAACGAATGAAGGTTTTCCAAAATTTACAACAAAAGATAGAATGGTGGAGAACTTCATTTTGGACCCCTTCGATCTAACTCAATTTTCTGTTAATTGCAATTTAACATTTCAAACCTCAAAAAAAGATGTTATTTCCTAATAATACACTCATCAAATACAAAATAAAAATAAGGTGATTTCTTGATTTGATACTACTAGAAGGAAGAATAATTACACTCCTTCACACACTTTTCTTGCAGAATAAATTACAAGATTTGAAGACACAAACTCGTAAGTTCTAATTCAAGCCTACCTTTGCCATGGCATTCTTATTTTGATCAACTGTACTCTGCAACTCCTCTGCTTGCCACTGAGTTTTCTTCAGTCTTTCATCCAGCTGTTTTATTTTGTCCTGCAGGCCTTCCTTCTCAGATATCAACTCCGCTATCATTTGTTCCTTGTCCTGCAACAATTATCAGTCATTAATAACAGGAATTTTTGACACTTATAGAAACACTAGGTCAATAGCAGAATGCCACGTGATACTATGGTTGAACAGACAAATGCAATAAAAGAGTAGGAGTAAACCTAATATACAGCCTAATTTAAATCATCTAAATGCAAAATGAATAGCAAAAATTAGAATTAATTAAGGATGTAGCTTAAGTTAAGGGTATATAAGTATCTGCCGATGCTTTTCATACATACTCCCCACTGTGCCTCCAACACTGGAGTTGAGTCTCCTTACAGACTTCATGGTATTCATTTAAAGTAGAATATTATTTATTATTTGCAATTGCTTACAAAACAAAGTTGAAGTGAAAATGAAATAAAATAGCACCTAGTAGAGCACACAAAACTTGGAATGTGATAATAATTGCAAATAATATAAAATTAAAAAAATGTATTTAGCTTCAAGCCTTTCTTTGCATGATGATCAGATTTTAAGAGTTTCTTGCAATACATCTTACTTCGATACACTTTTGGAGTTGCTGCTGCTCCTGCTGCCTTTTCTTTTCCCAACGAGTCTTGCTGTCTCTAATCATACTAATGGCATTTGTTTCCAACATTTTTCGATCTTCTCGTTCAAGTGTTAGAGCTCGTTTTAGACTCTGTAAAGCATGTTTCCATTTAAGAACACATCTTTATGACATTAAAAAGAAATAAAAGTATTATAACAATAATAATACATTAAATTAAGTGATAAATATATGCAAAACCAATGGTTAAAAAATTGAGAACTGGAATTAACTTATTATGAACTATAAACAATTCAATATTTTACAATTCCAGCAACAAATGACACCAAAGACTTATTGGCTCACACAACAAATATTCTTTAGTTTCAATTTTACCTGAGATTCATTTCTGAATTTCTCAAGAGCAACTTCAAGCTGACAACGATCTGCTTCAACAGTTTGCAGCCTTCGGGAACATTCCTCCAATTTTCGTTCCAATGTATTCATTTCATTGATTTTCTTAGGCTGCTGTGCTTCTTGTAATTTTCGGTACAAATCTTCTATTTCTTTTTTTTTGGCAGCAAGCAAGGATTCAGTAGCTGACCCTTTGTCCTTTTCCGACACAGAACTTGAAAGCCTTAAAAAGAATTATTGTGTCAATAGTTTCACATTATCACAAATGAAATACATTTTTAAATGCAGAGAGAATTAATATAACAATCCTTTTTTTTTTTAAATATTAATTTGGAAAAGTCACTGATGACTTAAAGGAATTTCATTTTCACAACAAAAATTAACACACACCAACAAACTTTTCAATACATAAATCAATGAACAATAAAAACAAATCAATCTTGTACATCCTTATTACTAAAAACTGCAAATGAAAATAAAAATTGGAATGATAAAATTATATTTTTAAAATAAATTTAATATTGTTCATTTCTTTAACATACCATAACCCAAGTTGAATGAATTTTTAAGACACGTATCCACAACAGAAGAGACAATGCTCCCAAAGGTTCAAAGATCACCACTATCACAAAACAAACATTACTCAGAGGTGTGGAAAGGGTTCGCAACAAAATTCAATACACCATTAATTCTTGAAATATTAGACAGAAAACTTATTCCTTCAAATATAAAGTGAAAAATATTTAATTTGTAGACTTACAGCTGAGTGTGAGAAGCATCATGGGTATATGTAAAGCCTATAAAAGGCAAATCTTTCCCAGAAAATTCTCTTCGAGACTTGAAGTTTTCAATGGAAGGAGTTCGAGGCTCTTGCTCAAATTCTTCAAAATTGGAAGTGTCATCCTCACTATTCACCACAGGTACAAATGGTGGAACACCTACAAGAAAACATTGAACACATATTGAAAAAGAGTAAGTTTAGCAAAGAACAATCATATGTGCGTCATGCATTCAGCCTGCTTTTGCAACAGCCACCCAATAAGCTAAATAATTAGCTGGGGGAGCTTTCATTGCCAGTAAGACATTGTTAATATTATCTACACGTTTGGAAAATTATGTCTTAACTAATTCAGTAATGTAACATCATCCTGCAAATAATAATGTCCATGTTATACAAACATGTTTTCAAATGACTAACAGAGGTTGCCCTATGCATCATCCAAAGATGTCAAGACTGATTTAGATAGATTTTCTGCTTGCCCAGGTGCTTGGTTCATCTGGTTGCAAAAATACTAATAATGATCACCAATAAGCTTTGTCATAATTGAACAAACGATGAATGAGTCCACCTAGCTGTTTCTAATACTACTTAAACTTCTTAGTACCAAAGCAAGGTCTATACAACAACCGCCCCAAAGGAATACATTTTTAAACAGTTTAATGGTAAAATGAAAGAGTGGCAAGCCAAGTGTTAATTTTTCTAATTGTTAGAGTGTCATAGGTTTCACGTTGTAGCATGTTCAACTTAAATGGTCCAGAATTAAATTTTTTCTCCAACATCTTTGAAGTCAAGAACCACCCCTTGATATTTGGAGTGCCTATTAATTTTTCTATCAAAGTTGCAGTTTTTTATATTGGCATCATTGTTGACTTCTTGTACTTTCTTCTCCATACATTTCTGTATATAAAGTCGATTGTTGGATGGATGACATCAAGTCTTGTACAGTACTTTCTAGTGGTTGTCTTATCCATACAATTTGCTTTGTGAGAAAAATTTGGAACAGAAAATATGAATAATGTAATACTTTGTGAAGAAGTCTTACATTTATTAGAAGAGTACTTAGAAAGTGGTAAGTGAAAGTAATGGCACATCAGAAACAGAACAGGATAAATATCAACGAATATTCTGTGAAAAGGACAAGATGGCGACCGTAAGTTTTGACAGCTGATATAGGGTTTTGAATACTAACGTAATATGAACGATAAAAAAAATCAAAATCTCCAAAGAAATTTTGTTAGACCTCAGGAAAGAATTAGTCACACCACATGCAAAGCAACTTTTTCAAAATTCCAATGACCTACAAAAACAATAAATGCAATACAAAATCTTATTCCAGAAGAAATGGAAGAAATACACACGACAGCAAATCCAGCCATCAAAGAGAAACCAAAGTCTTACATCCAAGGCAGGCTAATAGAAAGTTAAACATAGCATGTGAAGTGTGCAAGAAGTATGTGTTTTCAAGCCATTCCAAAAATTGTTTGTAATGCATGTAGCAAGTATATTAAGTACACAAGAACAAAAACCTTGGTAAATAAATCATTATTGACAAATTATTAACTTGTGTTATCTCTTAAAAACATGATCCTTATCCTATAACTCTTGAAACACAATGTGGTGGGGTTCATGCAGACCCACCTTGGTATTATATCTGCACGTTTTCTTGAGCCCCGGAATATGTACCCCCATTCCTTTCCCAACATAAGTTGCATTAAGAATAAATGATAGCAATTAGAGTTGTAGACAAAATCTGGTGGCGAGGAATGTCTGCTCCTGTGTATTAAAAAAAAGGAAAAATGAACTACAAATTTGATGTAAAATTCCTCTCATCAAAACAACCAATCTTCCCACTCCTCTCGCATCTAGCAAAGCAAGGGCTCAAGAAAATGTGTGCAGATAATAGTTGACATAGACTCAAGCCTGGTACTTGGAAGATTAATTATTGTACAATATAAAACATTACTTACTGTCTCTCAGCCTAGACCAGTCTATGCTGGAAAAGAAGCTGTGCTTTAAGATTTTTTCATGATTTAAACGAGCTGCTGCTTCTTGCAAAAGGTCAGTGACCAACTGACGGAAGCTCTGAGATGTATTTGTATCTTCTGGAAACTGTAATGTACTCTGATGGCTCATAATATTGTGGTAGGTAGCAGACAATTGTTCTCCAAAGAAAGGAGTACGCCCAATAACCATTTCATAAGCTACAACTCCCAATGACCAATAGTCACATTCTTTCTGTAATTGGAAAGGAAATTTCACACATAGAATAATTAGGTAGTGTCAATAAACAACTGGATTCTGATGAATTGTAAATGATATAATAAGTTTTAAAATTAAAACATTGCAATATGTAACTAAAAATAATGTACTTTATTATTCTTTACAAAAGAAACTCACTCCATAAAGTAGCTGTTTACTTCCATTTGAATTCTGATCTAATGCCTGGAGCACTTCAGGAGCAATATACTCCGGAGTACCAATAGGTAATTGACTTGTAACTACACCTGCTGCAGTCAACCGAGCAGCTGAGCCAAAGTCAGCTAATTTCAGATGTCCACAACGATCAACAAGGACATTATCTGGCTTTATATCCCGATGCACATACCTTGAATCAGACAATGGCAAGTATCATTATAGTCAAATAGATTATCTTCTTGCAATACTATATTACACAGAATAAACAGTCCAAATTCAAATATAAAACACATTTTACAGCTGTAGGTTTGTACAAAATTTTATCATACCCCATATTGTGCAAACTGTGGATGGCCATTGCAAGTTCAGCTGAATAAAAACGAGCCATCTCTTCTGAGATTGACCCCTCAAATCTTTCTAATAAAGCTAGAAGATCTCCTCCTGGATGGAACTCCATCACCAAATATAAATTGTTCATATCCTAAAACAAATTTCCAATTGTTACAAGCAAAAATTTGAACTGAAATTTTCACCTTTAATTACTAGCTACAAAAGATCAAATTCCAGCCTTGAAAAGAATTAACAAGAAATATACAATAAAATACAATTTACCTGAAATGCGTACTGAAGAAATGTCAACCACGGAGACGTAGTCTGGGCCATTATGTCTCGTTCCTCTTGGTAGAAAGCAGCTCCTTGCTGACTCAATGTATCAGATTTGCGAAGGGTTTTCATAGCATACACATCACCGGTTTGCTTTTCACGTACAACTTGCACCTCACCAAAATGCCCTCTTCCTATCACCTTTTTGACTTCAAAATCAGCAAGATTGACACGAAGTCTTCGAAGTTCAGATACTACACCTCTAACTGAAAGACATTAAAAAGTGTAAAATGCAAAAATTATTAATTATAAACTTAACAGCTAAACATAACATATCAATCATGTGGTTGCTTAATTTTACTCACACTTTTCCACAAATTTCGCAATATTTTTGTCCTTCTTTAAAGCATCATTGTTACATTCATCATATAGAACAACTAGCGCATCAAGTAGACCTTCTCTCCCAATAAACTGTTTACTGAGAAGTGTGTTCGCCGCACTGCCACCTCGTCCCAAGAAAAAATTGTTTAATCTTGTTATTCGAACGCTCACAGGTTCTTTGCATGGCTCCATCTAAAACATTAATTTTCGTATTTGAGAGGGATCAGTCACGATAAACCTTCTGTCAACAAGTGTTGAAGTGACAAACGAGTTCAAAACAGAGAGCTAAGAGAAAAAAGTTGACACTTAGAATAGATTTTTCACTAAGTGCACACCTTTCAGCGTTGTTTCCTAAATTAAATTAATCTTTGTCAATACAGTTATACAATCATACAACAATATTAAAAAGTCAATCAGCTATCTTAAACACAGACAATTCTTCTTGAATATGACAATGATGCTAGCACATATTCCACATCGTCCTCATCTCCTTCCTTCCTACTTCTGCAACGGTCAATTCGTATTCTGAAAATGTTTGCCGGCAAACATTTTAGATGCCACATGCACGTAAGTCTATTGGTTCCCAGGTTCGTTTACGTGATTCGCCATTGGTGAATCGTTTGTCCAATACATTACGTTAGATCTCTTACTAGTTTTAAGTGTGACCACTAGGTAGCAGTGATGTTTTTCAAGTGGGGACCTCAAGTTGGATTTTACCTGCAGCGTTAGAAACAATGGAGGGGGCGACGGGGGCGACAGGTGAACGGAGGTAGGGGGTGGGGGCGGCATCTGCTTAGCCCGAGAATGTTAGGCAGTTTGTGGCGGACCGTGTCGTGAGACAGTTCGGTTCTCGTTGTGTACGGTTTTCCCTCGTGTATGTGCGTGTGTGACGTGTGTTTCGTGAACCTACCTTCTGCGTGATTAAAATGTTTTTGAGTGTTTCAAACAACATGCGGACTGCACATAGAACAACGAACCCGATTACTACATGAAATGTAATAAATAAGTATTTGACATTCAGTGTTGTCAATCAATTGCTGTACGAATTTCTTTTTATTTTTTCGGGGAAGTGCAATTCAGTCTCACCAATAATGTTTTGTTTTTTTTTGTGCAATGTAATTAATTGATTGTTCAAATGACGAGAGAGTAATGATGCACAGAGAAAAAATGAAGCCAAAATACGCGCTCGAAGACTATATTTACGAAATGGAATCGAGAAGTTTGGAGCCTTCCGCGGATCCAGAAGATCTGGATGTTTATGGACAACTACAGAAAAAAGAAAAAGATCTCATCTTGGCTGCTGAACTTGGAAAAGCCCTTCTGGAAAAGAATGAGGAATTAAGCCGACAAAATGAAAAAATTGCTGAAGATTTTTCCCAGAAATTGGAGGTGAGAATTCTAATTAAGTTTTATAAGTGTGTGAGTGATAAGCGATTGCGTATGAAGTAGCATAGTGTGCATGAATATAAGAAATGAAACATTACACAACCGAATTTTGACGTATGCAGTTACAATGTGTTAGATTCTGCAACAGACTGAAGGAAGCATTCTTGGATTATTTGTTTTTCATCTGTATAATTTTAGATTTAACTTTGCAAAATAATCATATAAGTCTTCGACATATCAAATCATGAAGCCGGAAGAGATGGAAACATTTCGATGATGTTTAGAGTCTGTTATTTTGTTTTAAAGGTGGAGTTATACTAATTATCTTGGAAAGATATTGAAATATGCACTCTACATGACAAATCGGTTATTAATTGTGCGTTTATAATTTTTGAAATATTCCCCACTTTTCAATATTTACACACTTTTATTTCCTTATTTATTTTTATTTATTTTCTTGAAACTCACTTTTATGAATTAACTCCCTTTGCTCGAGAACCATCGAATTTAGACCTGAGAATCAGATTTCTTTAGATTGTGTGCAGTATTTTTATCATTGTCGATTTTGCGCTCTTCTATGTGACGCCGCGCGATTATGTTTTCGATCCTTATGAAGTCATCGGAGAGCAAAATAAAATCAAATATTAAAGCGTACAGACGTGTTTATTTTATTCTCGACATTATTTTGTTTGAAAGGAAAAGTCACCTAGAATGATTCGTTTGAATCTCGTATTTTCCAATATTGTAAGTAAATGACACACAATAACATTCTTGAGAGTCTTAATTATTACAGTTTGATTGTATTGAATATTAAATAAAGTAATAGATAAATAAGTAATAGTTCAGATAAGAGTATGAGGAAATTTCGGGCGAATGAAGGATTTTTATGGTTTCATCATTTTTCGTAGTAGCTCTGGAAAAGTGGTAGCAACAGTTGTACTTATGTTGCCTGATTCAAATAGTATTGTTTTATTTTTTATTTATTTAGCGCCGAAAATAATTAAAGCTAAGTGTGATGTACTACATGGAGAAGTGTATTCTGATACGTTTTCTTAAACTCTGAGATCCCTGCCCTATTACAATATGACTTCTAAATATACAAGATACAAGACCCATACACAAAATGAATTCTAAATACAAATAGAAATGAGCGTTTTGAGAAGATCTTATAAGAAAACGTTTACTTCCTTGTACTGAAAAATATTTGCAGAGCTAAACAAGCACCTAAAGAAAACTATTAATTGCAGCACTCTGATATGTACGCCATGTTCCTCATAGCTTGACAGTAGAGATGATGTTGCAAGAATTCATCATTAACACTTATATTCAGTTGCGCACCCAAAGAGAGGGGCCTCAAGGGGCTACAACCTCTCCCCCCCCTTCCGAAACCAATGAAACATAATGAAATACAGTTTTTACTAATTTTCTCTACTACTAATGAAAACCATTCAATAGTTACTAACATATTAAATATTAACAATACGTCAACGCATAAAAATATATTTTACATCGAGCATAAACGAAACATTGTTTGTAAGAAAACCTCAAAGCAGCTGGATACTGTACATATGCCCTTCTTCCCGAGCAAAATTTTGGATGCGTCTCTGCTTGTAATGAACTTGCTGAAATTTCTTTCAATTACTTTTCCCAATTTGCAATAAAAAACATAGTACGGTACGACATAGCACATATTTCTAGAATGCTACACATGTTAGAAAGGATTTGAGGAAAACTACTCATTCGTTCTGTCACAATGAGAATTCTGGTGGGTGGGAACGGATTTGAAGACAAACAAAAAGTTTGCTTTGGCATCTTGTTGAGGGGTGGCGAACGAAATATATTTTAAGCACAATTTTATAGTGAACTTATCTATCTACAATTAAGTGAGAGAATTTGATTGTTAAGACAGGTAGTACATTTTTTCTAAAATACAGAACATTTGCGATTCTCAGAGATCCTATCAAACGAAGTAATCCCCAAAACATTTTAGAAGAATGGAATCACTGATTAACAACTTATAACTCGCTTTTCTGTGAATGAAGACAACCTGACTCTTTCTCTCTTAACAGAAACAAGGAATTAATCAGCCGCAGGAGCAGTGAACGAAGGGCGAATAAACAAGGGCAGTGAAGTGCTTTGTTGGAATAATGTCTGTTTTTTAATTTCAAACATGCTTGCATATTCCTCTGCCACAAAGTACTTTGGCATTAAAATGCTTTGGAAATTACAGCTATGTTGTTATATGTTAATCCTGAAGGCTGTAGTCTCATGGTAATTCGGAAATTCGTAGCGAAGCGTCAGCTGGATAAGGAGAGGCTCTGATAAGGAGAATGGGAATAAATTCAGTTTCTAAATATAGAAAAAAATCCTCTAACACGTGGTGTAGCCAAAATCCATATTTTGTGAGTCCTTGATACCGAAAAATCGATTGACGGCATAACGTCCGTCTGTGCACAACGCTAGCGCATAAACCGTTGAGCCGATTTTCTCCAAAATTGATATTCCCCAATCTTTTAGCTGATGTCGTGGACTCTGGAATTTGAAACCGAAATTTTTAATTTGGAGGGTACTTTACATGAAATTCCTGGGCCTTTTCTAAAAATTTTGAAAAAATTGCTCCAATTTTTTTGATTAAATTTTGTTGTTGAGTAGTGCAAAGAAAATTCAAGAGAATGGTGCAGGTCTCATTTTCGTTGACATCCCCAGTTTTTCGAAAATTGGATAAAATACTGTTTAAAACTTCAGATTTGGAGATTGAGATTTTGGTCTCAAAAAGCTCAATTAAATTTCTTTGAAAAAAAAGTAGTTTTTTTGTAATTTGCGATTGAAATTAACAAAACAAATTCTCAAAAACCGCTCCAATTTTTTTCTTTAAATTTTCTTCACGTATGTAATAAGGAATGGTAAGAAATATGGCGCGAGTCTCATTTTCAGGTATTGTTAGTTTCGTTTCGAAAATTACCAAAAACATTTCAAAACTACAAAATTGAAGATAAAAGATTTTTGCCTCAGACAAAATCTGTTTTACAAAATAAGCTTTTTAAAAAGTGTCATACTTTTTTTTTTAAACTAGTAGTTTTTGCGGAATTTTTGCTTGAAATTAATGAAATATATGCACGTTTTACACCAACTACGGGCCACGAGAAAAATTGAATGATATGAAAAATAATTTATTTAATTTTAATTAGAATTTCCTATTGAAATTGCCAGTATTAATTATATTTTTCCTTTCTTGCTTTTTAACTTTTTTCTCAACGTATTGATGTATTTCTATTTAAGAAATCCGCAAAGCTTAATAGAAATTTCGCATATATGCAGCATCGATTGAGAAGCACTTGAGTAGCACTTGTTTTGTTTATATCATCCTCTCTCTTCCGAGAAACCATGGACGCTCTGTTTGTTGAAAAGCAAAATCTTTATCATACCTCAAGTGTGGATGTTAGAAGTCTGTGATGAAATTAAGCACTATTGAAACTGTTATCTTATGACGAAAGGCATCTTACGAACGTTCGTCATTATTTTGATGTCAATTGCATATATTCTAATTACTGTATTGATATTATTAGCCAAGCGAATGTACATAGTTTTGATAATGCTGCGTTAGCAACAGTTCACTTCTTGGTTGAATTGGACTTTTGAAATAATGGCCGAGGTGTTAGTGGCGCAGAAAATGCAATATTTCAGTATTATGTAGCGGTTTCCAATGACGCGAGGAAGTATGTGCTGTTGTAGCACCACTAGTTTCCAATTGCTTCTAGAGACGTATCAATTTGTTAAATGTGGTTTAAGGTCGCGACATCAGGATGGCCGCAATGTCTTGAAGCCCCAAGCGGAACTTCCGAAATAGTCGAGCGTCAGTTTAATTTCGAGTTCTTTTGAGGTTTAACTTTGTTTGAAAAACATTCATTTTCGACATTCTTGCATATTATTATCTTTAAGATTACAAGCGTTTTAATTTCTCCCTCATGTCTCGTATACGGCTTTAAATTTCTTTTTGAGGTTAAGTTGTTGTGGTGCGCACCAAATAAATATTTCAATGAGTATTTGCCTATTAAATGCTAATCGATGATGATTGAAAAATAAACAGGGACACAAATGAACAGATAGGGGGTGGAATCAAACTAATTAAACAATATTAATTATTTTTACACAAAAGTGATGTGATTACACTAGATGACGTTAATTAATTTCAGAACAATGAGGATCGTGCAGCCGATCTTAAGAACACTTAATTAACTTAATTTATTATCATGTTGTTCGTACTTTGCATACGACAGGCGTCTCAATAATGGCAGAACCATAGTTTTAAGCAATGTGGCCTTGGTATGGCTGGAATTAATAATTTGATTTATGTTGTTAATATGCGGATATTAAATAAAGTATTTTATCAAAGGTATAGAAAACTAAATACATGATTCTATCTGCCTTAGTTTTGTGTTGTCTCTAAAATGAGTCACCATTTTAAGGCGGAAGTCTTGAGGTATTTGTGCACGGAAAAAAAATAAACACGGCATCTCCCAAAAACTATACAACCCTCTTGCAACTGTAGGATAGTTACCTTTCCGAGTGTGTGTTAGCGTAGCTTTTGATATTGTGCAGTTCGACATAAGCACAATGTAGCGCAAGTCTTTCTTTCGTTGAGGGCTCAAAGATATATTTCTTTGAGCATCGTAGAATAGGTCATCCCTGCCATTGTTCTTAGAATTATGCATATTCGTGTAGTTATAGGGGCATATTTTCCACATTTCCTTAAAATAGAGACTTTTGTATAAAATCTATTTACTTGTGAGCGAAAGAGTTTGTCACTGTCTGCGTGTTCTTCTTCTTCTTCTTCTTCTTCTTCTTCTTCTTCTTCTTCTTCTTCTTGTGTATAAACAATACAATACTAGTGCCAATGTAGGATATATCTTGATAATATATTTTTAAACCAGTCAGAAGAAATTCAAGACATATAATGTACTTCACTAAGGTGATTATTTACTTCAATTATTTATCTCGCGAAGTAGGGTAGATTATATTATGTTTACGCAAAAACTTACGCTATCTTTTCATTCCAAACATGGTTCTCCTCAATTTTATCAAGAAAGAATGGAGTAAAAGAAATATTGTTAATTTTAATTGCATATTAAAAAGCATATTTTAGTTTTTTAGGTCATAAATGCATATTTTGAAAAGTATATTTGATGATTTTTTAGGGCATGAAAATCCTCTCTCTAGTAATCACCGACCTCCAAAACCCTTCAGTGCCAAAGAACTTTCCAACTAAACAACTGTTTCACATTGGAGCCAGTGTTTTGAGGTCTGGAAACGCAGTAGGTCGGCCCAACACTACCACCCACTATGCAATGATTTGTTAACTCAACGCTCTGTGACGTCACAAAAATCTGCTCTCCCGCTCGGAATCGAACCGCGGAGCAAAGGCAGTGCTGGACGCGGCGTTCGGCGTACAGTGTTCCAATGATGGTACGGAAGTGAGGGGAAAAGGTTCGCTCGGTAATTACGTTTTTAAATGATAATTATTATTTGAATCTTTATCATTCAATTAAATCTAAAAAATTAAAAATGGAACGTGGATTATTTCATAACAAAGCAATATTCACTCTATCGTAACCAGTACTGTAATTCCACTTCCGTTCTTCTAACACATAACATTTTTGCTGTAACAGTTTTAACATTCTAGTACAACATTTTATACAATGTTATAGAATATAACAATTTTAGTTCCTCCGGAAATAACGCAAGCACACAAAATTAAAAAAAAAAATTAAATAAGAGAGAAACATATGTCAGGTCTTCGGGTCTGACTATAACCCCCGGGAAAAAAATACGATGTTATGGCGGTTTTATCCAATTAAAAAAAACTGGTGGTGATGGCCCATTTCTGGCTTCAGATTTGGATTCAAAGCGTCGACATACATAGAGAATCACGTATAAAATCTTCGGGTCTGAAAACTTATTTGTGTACCTATGTAGTTAATGTTAACAAATCCGGGAGGGGTCACGTAAGAGAATTTGGACTCCAGGTGTGATTATCTATAGAGTACAGTTTTGTTTGAGATTGTTGTAAAGCCGCGTGATATTCTATTCCTTTTTTCATAATCTTCTATCTGCGAAATCCTTTTCTCATTTCATGATTGCAGTCTGTCTAAATTCTCAGAAAGCATTTTCATCTCACCGGTTTCTCTCAGATGCAAAGCTGCGTAATTCCTCTGACGGTTGAACTCTTTAACATACTGCAGTTCTTTCGAATGCACTAAACACTCCGCCATTGATAAGGTATCTACAAAAGGAAACTTTTCTTCCCATCCCGAAAGAAAATTAACGAGTGTAGATGGTCTCCCACTCATGTTCCCCGAAACACCAGTTAACTAGTTTGTGTTATCGACGCCAAACGTCTGCCGCTCGCTCGCTCGCTCGCTCGCTCGCTCGCTCGCTCACTCACTCACTCGCTCACTCACTCTCCCCCCCCCCTTTGCTCACACCGCTTCTCTGAGGCGCTGGCGAAGGAGAACTGAGCTCCGATATTTGTCCGCCAGTTAGCAAACACTGCACAATACACAATTTTTCTGACAGGAAACGGAAAAGTTAGGAAACAATATTCTTAAAAGGCAGCAGTGGCACCGGCAATACGCGTGTAGCCCTCGCCTTCTGCAGCTCCTCCCTATCGCCCCTTATCGGTGATTATCAGCGCGCGCCTGCTGCACGGGACGGGCGCCCGCCAGCTCACAACAGGAATGCGACGTCGGTAGCAAAACAGCGATTTTTAAAATTAAACGATCGTTGTTAATGTCACATATACCCATGACTAGAAGTGGGAAGTTCAACAAGGGGCCACAATTCCAAGAGACTGAAATAATTTGTTCTCTTATAAAAAATCGTATTATCTTAGGTTTCTTTCTCGCTATCGCTTACGCGGTAGAGAGAGACTTATGTAATGCTGGGCGAAGAAAGGTGAATTTTCGGCAGGAAAACTCTTTATTACAGGGCCCTAGTAATGAAAGTTATTCAAGTTAAAGATGGATTTAAAATTAATCAGAAATATATCAAGTAATTACATTTGAACACGATGCTATTTTACTCAAATATAGTGAAATTATTTTTG